ATCTTATTTTTGTTCATCAGCTTATTTTGTTCATTGTATTCCACAAATGAGTGAGATCATGTGATATTTATCTTTCTCTGACTGGCTTATTTCACTTAGCATAATGCTCTCCAGTTCCATTCATGCTGTTGCAAATGGTGAAAGTTCCTTCATTTTTATAGCAGCGTAGTATTCCATTGGGTAGATGTACCACAGTTTTTTAGTCCACTCATCTTTTGATGGGCACTTAGGCTGTTTCCAAATCTTATCTATTGTAAATTGTGCTGCATATATCCTTTCTGAGTGGTGTTTCAGTTTTCTTGGGATATATTCCTAGAACTGGGATTACTGGATCAAATGGGAGTTCCATTTTTAATTTTTTGAGAAAACTCCATACTGTTTCCACAGTGGCTGTACCAGTCTGCATTCCCACCAGCCGTGCACAAGGGTTCCTTTTTCTCCACATCCTCTCCAGCACTTGTCATTTGTTGATTTGTTGATGATAGCTATTCTGACAGATGTGAGATGGTATCTCATTGTCATTTTGATTTGCATCTCTCAGATGATTAGTGACTTTGATCATGTTTTCATATGTCTCCCGGCCTTCTGTATGTCCACTTTCAAAAAGTGTCTATTTAGGTCCTTTGCCCATTTTTTGATTGGATTGTTTATCTTCTTTTTGTTAAGATGTATGAGTTGTTAAGATGTAAATGTTGGAGATTAGATATTTATCTGATACAACATTGACAAATATGTTCTCCCATACAGTGGGCTTTCTTGTTATTTTGTTGATGGTTTCTTTTGCTGTGCAGAAGCTTTTTATTTTGATGTGGTCCCATTTGTTTATAGTTATGATTATTTTGATGGAGAGAGTATCCATGGATACTGCCATTTGGAGCCTCCTGTTCCAGTTATTAGCATACAGAATAGGCCTAGAGAAAAGATAACCAAAAGGTCAGCTTTTCTTTGAAATGCATTGACTTTCTTCATTGAGAAATTAAGTCGTCATCTTGTCCTTAGCCTAACCCTGACACAAATGTAATTAATCAAATACCATGTCTCACCATCATAAAACCATCCTGTATTTTTTAGAGTATAAATGATAAAAAAAAAACAGAAATACCTTGTTTTTTCTTAAATCAAACACTAGTTGTGCTTAGACATTTTATTTAAAATAAATGAAGACAAAGGCTCATCTCTTCAAAGCTGTTAGCTCTTTAACAGAAAACTTTATTAGTGTTGGGTTTTACAATGTTTAAAATTATAGGTGTAACATGTCTATTGAACACATCATCATTATGAAAAGCATTACTATTTTTTTACCAATGAAAATAATGAACAAACTACTTAAATACCCACCATCTTAGGATCTGTGGCAGACCTTGAGATGAGGATTTATGTACCTGAATCAGGAATGGGAAAAGGCCAAAAAAGCGTCCGATTTCAGATGATGTTCCTGACAGCCTGATATTGTGGGAAGCTCTAGAGCATAAATCCTATTACAGTTTGTCTCATCCTTTGACAGCTGTCAGTGCATATTTCCTATGGGATATTTGAACTTGAGCAGCATTTTTTACTGTTTTTCTTTTACATTCACAACAAACCTAACATCAAGGATGTCTGTCTTTGTTTGAAACCCAACATCAGCAGAAGTAGTTGACATGATATCAGAACTTGTAAAATCATCAACATTTAGGATGATGGGGAAATGAATTTTTCTTTGCAGCTCATTAAAGTCAGAATCATGATGTTTACTATTCTGTATACCTGCTAAGTAACTGAATCCAAAGGAAGATTTTTCACAGAAGTTATGGAATTACTTTTAGGGTGATTGTGTCCACATAGCAAGAAGATTATGTATTGTATCAAGAACATGCCATTTAAAAAGAATCTCAATAAAGGATAAATTACCCAGTTTAAAAATGGGCAAAATATTTTAGCAGACTCTTCCTAAAAGATATATAAATGACTAGTAAGCACATAAAAAGACTCTCTACATCAGGGGTCAACAAAATATGGCCTAAGAACCAAATCTAGCCAGCATTTACTTTTATAAATAAAGTTTTATTGGAACACAGCAATGCTCACTTATTAATGTACCAGAGGCCTGGTGCATGAAGTTCATGCACAGGTAGGGTCCCTAGGCCTGGCTGTTGATTAGGGCCGATCTGTGGGGTGACTGGTGGGGAAATCGGGGCCCTCCCTTGCACCCACCTTGTCCTGGCACCGCCCACTCACCGGGCCTGCCCCCCTGCCACAGGTCACCATCTGTGGGGCAGCTGGTAGGGCAATCGGGGTCCCTGTTCACACCTGCCTTGGCCTGGTGCCGCCCACTCACCTGCTTCACCATCCTGCTGCGGTCTCACTCTTGTTGGGGCCCATCGGGTCTGGCAGCACCTCCACTGCTGCTGGCTGTCAGCACTGTATTGCCAACACCCGTCATGTTCTGCGTTGCCCCCTGGTGGTCAGTGCACGTCTAACTTCTGGTCAGTGGAACTCCCACCTATGGGGACAATTTGCATATTAGCCTTTTATTATATAGAATTATCAATGGCTTTTTTCTTGGTACAATGGCAGACTTGAATAGTTGCAACAGACTGAATGGCCGGCAAAGCCAAAAATATTTACTATTTGACTCTTTATGGAAAAAGTTTGCCAATATCTGTTCTACATCATTAGTTATCATGGAAATGCATGAGATCACTATACATCCATTATGTTGACTAAAACAAAATGATGACTATATCAAGTAGAATCTAATTTATAATTTATTTAAGAACATGTTCATTCTGTAGGGCTCACCATGATTGGATGTTTATAGTATAGGAGGAAGGAAAGCCTTATGCAGTGACTCACCCTGATGGCCAATTTTTGCTTCTGAAGGGACTCTAGGGCAGACAAGATGCTACTAAGAATATTTCAGGACCCTTGTTTTCTATTGGTATGCCCAGATCCCAACCAATGCCTCCAGATCTGCTTGAGATACACCTCAATAAAGAATACCAAAGGTTTCATAGTGGACCTCAACAAAATCTCTTTCTACTGAAGAAATCATTGGCTCAAGAAGACTAAGATATTTATTTCAATGCTGTGATTGACACAATGGTTGCTGAGCACACTTTTAAGAAGCTGTAGAAAATTGTTCAGTGTAACTTTTCTAAATGGCCACAAAGGGGCAATGCTGCTTTGGAGAAGATAAATGTTGCACATACATATATTCATCAAGTAGGTAGCAATTATCCTTTTAAAAAATCTAGTATTATTAACTAATCCTTTGTTTCAATTGATATCTATTAATCATGTATGTATGTATGTATCCATCCACCTAAATAATATGTGTCTCTTCTAATCTAACCAGTTTGAAAAAAAATAACTGTGGAAACCAACAATTCTTTGAATAATACATATTGCCCTTCAAGGTTAGGGCCACATTAGCTTCCCTAATATAAATTTCTAATGTTTTTACTCATGAACAGCCCAATATCCAGCCACACTAATCCATGTACAGAATTCTCTTATCCCATTGTTTTTACAGGGAAATCTATTGATGGGATGGTGTAAGTCTCAGTTCAAGCATCTCCTGCAACAGAACCCTTCTCTAGCTGGGCCCAGAAGCACAGTTTTTTATTCTTTTTTTGTCATATCATAGAGATCCTCAATTTTTTTTGATACGTTTTCTCCAACTGTTCTTGAATATTGGGACTAAGTTGATTGAAGATTGAGACTGTGTCTCTTTCATGAATGAGACCCAAGTATTGCACATTTAGTAGGCACTCATTGGACACTAAGTAAATATATATTAAATATATACATTAATGAAGGAATAAATGAAAAAGAAAAAAATCACATAAAAAAATTCAACAAATCATTTAAAAATCCCCTGAGAGTACTGGGGTTGAATAAACTGAATTATAGATTGAGGAATAGAGACTCTTACCATTGTCTCCTGTTAGACTATGATGGTGTTTTTCTTTGATTGAATTTGAGATGATATCAAATACAAATAATAAAATTCTCTCTGGACTTCAAAAATGTGCTTCTTATTTATTTTAACTTGAGTTATTGATAATACAGATCAATCTTACTTTTAAGGCAGTTTTGGAATTTATCTTCAACTTATGTTTGTATACCCTGCTGTGTTAACATGAAAAGCCAAGTAGATTTTTCATATATTTATATCTCATCCATAAGGATAAAGTATAAAGAAAATATTCAATGTTTGCTCAAACCCACAATGAGAGCTTCCAAAAATGCTGCATTACTGGATGGCCATGGCCCCATATTTTCTGATGTCTACAGAATTTTTCTATCCTCTCTCATCTATTAGGAGATAAAGCTCCCCTAAAATAGATCATTCTGGTACTTGCCAATTTATTTTCCCCAAATATATATATCCTTAGAAATATTTAATTTACCTGATTTATAGTTTAGAAGAAATATAAAGACATTAAAATGAATTTAAATATCTTCTGTTATTTATTAGGGGTATGTAAAATATAAACGCATCTGAAAGATTGTAATACAATTTTAAGTTCCCTGAAGGCAAAGGGATCATCTATTCTCTACGTTTTGATCTATGGCTTTAGTTTGTAATGAGATATTATGCTACTTGTGTGTCCTCAATAGACTTCAATTCATATTTATAATAAAAAAAGAGAAATGCTTCTATCTATGCTAATCTTGTGGCTTTGTGAGAATTTCTTTTCCCCACTGTAAAATAATGCAATATCCACTGACATATCAAAATTGTCCTAGCACACAATTTTAACATTCTAGGTGGTGTGAAGGAAGGAAGAGGAAGATTGAGAGAGATAAATTCTAAACTGATCCTTGCCTATATGTGTGTAAGGGATTTTTCATTCCTAATGAAAGTATGTTCAGCAATTCTAAGTTAGGGCAAAAAGAGGAAGTGCTTTCTTTGACAGAAATAGCTTTAAGTGAAAGTATGTGTGAAAGGGTGGAGCCAGTTGAAAGAATAAAAGCAGGTGTGAATTTTTAAACTCATAGTTCCACCTGGCTGAGAAGACCATAAGATCACTAGAGTTGGCACTAATCTTTGGTTCCAGGATATGGATAAGATCTTGAGAGCATCATTTTTAATTCTATGGCTTCAACTAGGCTGTGAGTTGTGGAGGAGAAGCTCTGGGCACATCATTAATGTGGGCAAATGAGGAAATTGGGGTATGGATGAACTCAAGCAGGTAGAAACTTTAAGAAGAAAATATAATTTGGGGAGCCTAATGACTTTTTGTTCTTTTTAAGCAGGGGTGAGCGGCCAACAGAAGGAGAAACGTGACCAGCAGCAGGTGAAACAGAGCCCTCAATCTTTGTTACTCCAGGAAGGAGACATTTCAATTATGAACTGTACCTATGAGAACAATGCATTTGACTACTTCCCATGGTACCGGCAATACCCTGGTAAAGGCCCTGAATTATTAATAGCCATACGTTCTGTTGAAAATAAAAAAGAAGATGGAAGATTCACAGTTTTTTTCAGCAAAAATACCAAACACTTCTCGTTGCACATCATGGCCTCTCAGCCTGGAGACTCAGCCACCTACTTCTGTGCAGCAAGTGCACAGTGCTCTGCAGGCACCTACAGCCTGTACTGAAACCTGCAGCGAGACTCCAGTCAAATCCTGCCATGTAGATGAAATATTCACACACACATAAAAACCCTGTTTGGCCATTTAAAAGTCTTAATATATTTTAAAGGACCGAAATTATACAGAATTTATTCTTTGTCCAAAATGGAATTGATTTAGAAAATCAGTGGCAGAAAGATATCTAAAAACTCCCAAATATTTGGAATTTAAGCACTAAACTTTAAAACAAACCATAGGTCAAAGAAGCAATTACAATGAGTATTATAAAATATATATGTATATATTCTTTTTTAACATCATGGAATTTATTTTTATTGCTATTAGAGAGAGAGAGAGAGATGAGAGATCAGTTGCTTCCCATACCAGCCCTGACTGGGAATCAAACCCATGACCTTCCAGTGCATGGGACAATGTTTCAACCAATTGAGCCACACCAGCCAAGGACTGTATTATCAATAACAGAAGTTAAAATAAATAAGAAGACATTTTTGAAAAGCATAATGAAAACACATACATATACATATATGTGAGATACAGCTAACATAGTCTATAGAAGGAAATTTATCACTTAAAATACCTATATTAATAAAGAAGAAAGGTTGGAAAGCAATGATCAAAGCTTTCAACAAAAGAAGACAGAAAAAGAACAAATTAAAGCCAATGTAAGCTAAAAAAAGGAAATAATAAAAAAAGTCAAATTGGTGAAATACAAAACAATAATACAGATAATAAATTAGAAAGTTAATTTACTGAAAATTATTAATGAAATTGATATATACCTAGCTAGACTTACCAATGAAAAAGAGAGCAAAAACGTTAATTATAAATATAAGGAATGAAGAAAAACATACTACAGACTCTAACATTTACACTAAAATAAAAGTATATCATTAACAATTTTAGGCCACTGAGTAAGAGCATAGACATAGAGTTACACAAATAAGGAAAACTAATTTTTTTTTACAAAGGTGTTAAGTCAGTTCAATGGAGGAAAGATAGTCTAAGTAACAAATGATGTATAACAACTGGTTATTTATAGGCAAATAATTAAATCTTGCTCTAAACTTCACAACTTACACAAAAAATTTGAGGAGAGTCTCAAAATGGATCACTCATCCCAGTGTAAAATGTAAAACTATAAATCTTTTAGAAAAAATATAAGAGAAAGTATTTACACCCTAAGGTTAGGCCAAGAGATTTTTGACATGACACCAAAAGAATAACTTAAAGTTCATCAAAATTAAAAAGTTTCCCCTGTAAAAGATACTGTAGAAGAATAAAAAAGACAAACCACAAATTGTTAGGAAATAGTTCCAAAATACATTTCCATCAAAGTAGTGGTATTCAGAATATAAAAAAAACTGTCTAAACTCAACAGAAAGAAAACAAACAATGCAATTTAAAAATGGAAAAAGACTCACAAAGACCTTCACCAAAGAGGGTATGAGACAGGGAAATCCTATCTAATAAAAGAGAAACATGGTAATTAGCCGTACAACTGCTACCCTTCCCATTGGTTAATCAGCCAGATATGCAAATTAATCGACAGCCAAGATGGTGGCTAATTTGCATATGTCAGCCCCAAGCCTCGGCCTGAGGCTTTAGGCTGGGGCCTGGGCGGAGCCAGCCAGCAATGGTCTCGGGGAGCTGGGGGTGCCCCGGTCCAGGCCTAACGCCTTGGCCAGAGGCTTTAGGCTTGGGCCGGGGAGGATCCAGTCAGCGATCATGAGCCAGCGATTGTTGATGGCAGCGGCTGCAGGGAGCTGGGGGTGGTCCGGCCCAGGCCTAACACCTCAGCCAGAGGCTTTAGGCTTGGACTGGGGCAGAGCCAGCCAGCGATGTTGATGGCGGCTTTGGCAGGGAACCGGGGCGGAGTCAGCTAGCGATCGGTGGCGGGGAGCTGGGGGTGCCTCGGTCCAGGTCTAAAGCCTCGGCCTGAGGCTTTAGGCCCGGGCGGGGTGGAGCCAGCCAGCGATTGGCGGCGGGGAGCTGGGGGGGCGCTGGCCCAGGCCCAGGCCTAACACTTCAACCAGAGGCTTTAGGCTTGGGCCAGGGAGGAGCCAGCCAGGGATCATTGATGGCTGCAGCGGCGGGGAACCGGGGCGCAGCCAGCCGAAGATCCTTGATGGCGGTGGCAGCGGCTGTGGGGAGCTGGGGGTGCCCCGGCCCAGGCCTAAAACCTCAGCCTGAGGCTTTAGGCTTGGGCCGGGGAGGAGCCAGCCAGCAATTGTTGATGGTGGCAGCGATGGGGAACTGGGGCGGAGCCAGCCAGCGATCCTTGATGGCAGCAGAGGCAGGGAGCTGGGGGTGCCCCAGCCCAGGCCTAAAACCTCGGCCTGAGGCTTTAGGTTTGGGCCGGGGAGGAGCCAGCCAGCGATCATTGAGCCAGCGATCATTGATGGCAGCCCAGGCCTAACACCTCGGCCTGAGGCTTTAAGCTTGGGCCAAGGAGGAGCCAGCCAGTGATCGTTGATGGTGGCAGTGGCGGGGAGCTGGGGTTCCCTGGCCCAGGGCTAATGACTCGCCAGAGGCGTTAGGCCCGGGCAGGGGCCATACTGGCAATTGGTGTGAACTACAGAGGAAACACCTTCTCTGACTGCTGATTGGCAAAGCTCCCTGTATGTCACTGGTAATACTCTTAGTAACTTGGGTAATGAGAGTCCAAATAGGTGATGTAGGGTTTTTTACTACACTCCTGGAGAAAAAAAAGGAAGATCTGCTACTGGAGGGTTAAGAAATGTCATATCCTGCCCTAGCTGGTTTGGCTCAGTGGGTAATGCCTCGGCCTGCTGACTGCAGGGTCTGGGTTCAATTCTGACCAAGGGCATGTACCTAGGTTGCAGGTTCCTCCCTGGCCCGGGCCCAGGTCAGGGCTCATGCAGGAGGCAACCAATCAAAGTGTTCCTCTCGCTTTGATGTTTCTCTCTGTCTTTCCCTTTCTCTTCCACATTCTCTAAAAATCAATGGAAACATATCCTCAGGTGAGGAGAAGAAAGAAAGAAAGAAAGAAAGAAAGAAAGAAAGAAAGAAAGAAAGAAAGAAAGAAAGAAAGAAAGAAAGAAAGAAGAAAGAAAGAAGAAGAAAGAAGAAAGAAAGAAAGAAAGAAAGAAAGAAAGAAAGAAAGAAAGAAAGAAAGGAAGGAAGGAAGGAAGGAAGGAAGGAAGGAAGGAAGGAAGGAAGGAAGGAAGGAAGGAAGAAAGGTCATATCCTATGAAAGACAGTTCTTGAAAATGCCTAAAGAAAGTTGTCATTTTTTCATGGTAAAGGGACTGGAGTCTGTGTTGATGAAAACACCGTGGTGGCTGCCGTGACTGGCAGTGGCTGCAACAGTGAGGTGATGGGGCTGCGGCCTTCCCCTGATCAGCCTGGTCGACTCCCACAGAGGGAGGCCAGACTGTGGCTTAGGCCCACACCCCAAGGGGAGCAGGGAGCAGGTAGTAGGACATCCCCTAGGGCTCCCAGTATGTGATAGGGGGCAAGCTGGGCTGAGGGACCCACCCCCCTCCAGTGCACAAATTTTTGTGCACCGGGCCTCTAGTAAGTATATAAAATAATATAGATGTCCAACATCATCAACCATTAGGGAAATGTAAATTAAAACCACAATGAGACAGTACTTCACATCTACCAGAAAAGTTAAAATAAAAAAATCATTGATTATACCAAGTTCTAGCAAGGATGAAGAGGAATTGAATCACTTGTACATTGCTGGTGAGTGAGTGGTACAATCACTATGGAACATAGTTCAGCAGTTTCACATACAGTTAAAATTTCACTTACCTTACAACTTAGCAATCACACTCCTGGTTCTTATGCTAGAGAAATGAAAAACTCAAGTTTGCAATGTTTTTATAACTTCTGTGCGAGTCAAAAATTATTCAAAATAAAAAGTAAGCATGTGAGACAGCCAGATTCAGAAACATTGCCAATTGGCATGTAAACAGGCAACCACTTCAGCAGTTTCTCATAAAATTAAACATACATCTACCACAACCCAGCAATTCTACTTCTAAGCATTTACCCAAGGGAAATGAAAACATATGTCCTCAAAAAGACTTGTGTATGATGGTCATAGTAGCTTTATTCATAATAGCAATTAACTAGAGAAAATGTCCACAAGTGACAGATTAAATAAATTGTGCTATACATATATAATGGAATATCAGTCAGCTGTAAAATGGACAGAACCACTGTTACTCATAACAACATAGATACACTCAATAACATAATGCTTAGCAAGAGTCTAGATACAAAACATCTTTTTGATTCCATTTACATGATATTCTAAAATAGGCAAACTGACCCTCAGTCAAATAATGCACAATGATGGTTATCTCTGTGAGCTGGGAATTTTTGGGGTACAACGAATCTTAATGGAGTGAAGGAAATAATCTATAGCTTGATAAGGGTATGGCAAGTCTGAAATTTCAAACTCTTCTAACTCTATACTTTTGACCCATTTATTATACAGTATAATTATACTTTAACTAGAAGCCCAGTGCACAGATTTGTGCACCAGTGGGGTCCCTCGGCCTGGCCTGAGCCCTCGCACAATCTGGGACCCCTCAGGGCAAGTTGGACTGCCAGTTTCAGCCCGATCCCCATAGGCCAGGCCGAGGGACCTTACCAGTGCATGAATCCATGCACTAGGCCTCTAGTATGCATATAAGATCTTTGGTTAATCACTTCCTGCCTTCCCCCCACCTCCCTTCCCTCTGAGATTCATCAGTCTATTCTATGGTTTCATGCTTGTGCATTGAGCGTCTGTCCCCTGGTGGTCAGTGTGCGTCATAGTTAGTGGTTGAACGGTCGAACAGTCGAATGGTCATTTAGGCATATATATATATATATATATACTATATATATATATATATATATATATATATATATATATATATACTAGATATATATATATACTAGAGGCCTGGTGCACAAAAATTTGTGCACTGGGGGAGGGGGGGAAATCCCTCAGGCCGGCGTGTGCCCTCTCGCAGTCTGGGACCCCT